TTTACTGTAAAGTAGATTATTATATTGTTACTATAAATAAAATATTACTATTTTACTATTATACTAGATCGAATAATTGCCTGACAGCTAATATACAAACATGTTAGGTTGGTGTGGCAATCTAGAGCTGCAAAACTGCTAATAGATACAGTATGAGAAACAGCAAAAACATGACAAGGATGACAAAAGATCAAAAATAATGATACAAAAAATTTTGAACAAATGGTGAACTAAAAACAAAAAAAAACTTTAGAAAAACTCAAGCTGCAAAAATGCACATATATACACTGTTTGATGCATAGGGAATGGTGTCGTATACAGATGTTACATGGACAGTAATCATACAATGAATAGATTCGTGAACCAAACATAACTGGCAAACAATATCTGATCACAGTTATAGGAGTAATTAGGCGTTATTACTATGGTAATTAAGCTAATTGACATCAAATATATCAACGTATAGAACAGTTGAACGTTACCTCGTACTTTTTGGAATTAGTGATTGTTCTGGTAATTGCCTTAAATTTTGATAGGGCCAAGTTTTTTTATAAAAATCTGCGAAAGTGGGAATCTTGTTCCAGGGCTTCCCTGCCTTCACAAATTTTTTAGGTGTCTTAATAAACGAAGCCGGCATAGAGCAGGAAGGCTAGGGCGGCTTCTCCCCTTTTCACGCTCGCGGCCGCATAACAGCCCCGTAAACAGCCCCGGTGGCGTTGCCACTTGGCGTTTTGTCGGCGCCCGTTCCAAATTTTGAGATTCCGAGAAATCGCAAAACTAAAGTCGAATTCGACGAAAATAAGAATGCGCTGCCGCTTGTTATAAATTCATCATACCAAATCGCTTAGGAGAATAAGCCATCAGTAACAATACACTCGCCGTTAAAAACGCGTTTTTAATAAACATCAGTCCAGGTGTCCAGAGAAAATCAGCCCCGTCTAGGAGAAAATCAGCTCTCCCGTCTAGCATAAAATCGAGGCCCCGTCGAGCTAAGTGACGCTTGACGGGGCCTTTTTTTAGGCCCCGTGGTTTTCTTGGAGGGCGAAGCCTGTAGAGGGCGGTCGGAGAGGTTACCGCAAGCAGAGGGGACTCGCCAGGGTGTGCCTTAAGGAAGATGAAGTCGTGGCAACTACGAAGGGGTGGAAGATGGAGGTCATAAAGGCTGCAGAGGATGACTCTTCGGTCGATTCGTTGGAGAGAGAATTTTTTCTCCGTGAAAACGACATCTTGAGTAAAGACGTCTTCAGTACATGTAGTTGTGTTAGAATTACATGCAATAAAGAGATCAGGTTGTTACGGCTACAACAGGAAGATCGGATTTCTCTGGGAGAGGAGGGGGGGGGCGTTGCCACTGTGATGGGAAGACACGATTTCTCAGAGGGAACTTGGAAGGGAGACCGAGACAAGTACAGGGGCATTCTCCTCAGGGAGAGGTGGTCGGGAAGGCTGCAGCAGGTAGATGGAGACTTCTCTGGGAGAGGAAATCGGAATGACAAATACAAGGAAAGGGGATTCTTCAGGGAGAAGGGGCCGCAAAGACCGAGACAGGGAGAGAGTTTTCCTTGGGGGAGAAGGGATTAGGAAAGCACCATTCTATGACCTTTGCGTCGTTGCAGGAGGGAGACTTCTCAGAGTACAACGTGAAGTTCGGCACGGAGGTCCTGGAGCTCGACTGCTGGTGTACGAAGCGACGCTACGACGCCTTCTGTCAGGTGCTAGGCACAGGCATGAACCAACACCTGATTGTGAGTACATGCTTGCTACCCCTCACTATTACCTCACCCCACCACTACCCCTCTGTGTTGCAGCTTGTTGCCGCGGCTGCAGGAACTGTTGCTATACTGTTGCAGTAATGTTGCTATACTGTTGCAGTAATGTTGCCTCTGTGTTGCAGCTTGTTGCCGCGGCTGCAGGAACTGTTGGAAAGCTCGGACGTAGAGCTGCGCATCGTTGCCGGCGAGGTGATCGCGCTCAGCTACGAACTCGCTCGCATGGACAATGAGGTAAGGGTCACTGCAGGTCAAGGTCACGGTCGGGGTCGAGTTCTGGGCCGGGATCGAGGTCACCGCAGGTCGAGGTCGGTACAGGTCGGGGGGAGGGTCACTACGTGGGGAGGGGAACGTTGTGAGGCGATCATGAGACATCACAGATCGAGGAAAGGGGAAGAATCACCAGGCTAGGATGTAATGAGAGAGGGTCACCGTGTAAGAATCTCGAGCCTGACAGCGCGGGGACGACGGCATTTTTAGCGTGTGAAGATGAGAGAGGTGACGATGTCGGACTGAGAAACGCAGCGCGTAAGCGTGAGGGAGGGTCGACATTTTACCCGCGTGAGGGTCGGCTGGTAAATATCGACAATCACCAGGTGGCGCTCCGCACGCGAGGACGATTTGTTGTTCTTGCGCGACCGGAGGTTCCGTGATTTGTTGTTCTTGCGCGACCGGAGGTTCCGTGATTTGTTGTTCTTGCGCGACCGGAGGTTCCGTGATTTGCAACCACCAGGTGGCGCAACACGTTCCGCGATTCACCTCGCGGCGAATCTCTTGCAGGACTTTGACGGATCCGACATAGACGGGCTCTGCGAGAAGCTGCGACAGCTGGCGACGGACAGCAACAAGTATCGCGCGAAGAAGGAGCGCAGGCAGCAGCGCTCTAGCTTCAGGGACATACTGCGAGCCGTCGGGGTGAGTCCGGACCGCCGCCGCCGAGATGAGAGACGAGAGATGGTCCTCGGGGTAGAGGAGGGGGCGTGGCAGCGGCTGCGGCATAGAGGAGAGACGAGAGATGGTCCTCGGGGTAGAGGAGGGGACGTGGCAGCGGCTGCGGCATAGAGGAGAGGCGAGAGATGGTCCTCGGGGTAGAGGAGGGGGCGTGGCAGCGGCTGCGGCATAGAGGAGAGACGAGAGATGGTCCTCGGGGTAGAGGAGGGGGCGTGGCAGCGGCTGCGGCATAGAGGAGAGGCGAGAGATGGTCCTCGGGGTAGAGGAGGGGGCGTGGCAGCGGCTGC